TGTTTTACGTCTACCAGATCTTGGGCGGCTTTTAACACTACCAATGTCCTCGAAACGTTGAATAGTATGGATTACAGTACTTTTGGAGATCTTATTATTTTCATTCCGAAAATTTCATTAAATAATCGCGTTACTGTTTTATACCCTCTTTGTTGATCTCCCCATCCTCGCATCATTAACAGTGTTATTCGATCTCTTTCAGAAAGCTCCGCCATTCTTAATTAGAGCAAAGAAGAATTAATCAGGTAAGTGATAGGAAATTGATCTAAATAATTAAGTAGAGAAAAATATTAATTATTAAGTGTTAGTCCTACTATCGATTTGTTTATTTCAACCAGCACTAGCAAAAAGCTCGTTGAGCAACTGAAAATCTAATAGATCAATTAATAATATTTACGAAAAAATTCTGGGCTATTGGAAACAAAATGAAGATGTTTGGGACAATCAATTGAAGCGCAATGGCTTCGTTTGTTACAGAAACAATTTTTGGGGCTGTTCATTTACGCCCACGAGGTGACTGCTACTCGCTAAGAAGAAGACAGCACTACATCAAAGATTCAAATCAGTGATCCGCATTGTTTGCTCAAGAGCTTGTATTACTATTGGTGTCTGCGAGAGTGAGACAATAAAGATCGGCCCCGCCAACGTTTTCGGGCAGATTCCCGCTAACGCCTTCGGACATCACGCATTCGAGCAGCTTCTCGCGATCACCTTCGGGCAGTTTTCCGCCATAGCCTACTAGCATAACCGCTTGAAGCCGTACAACTTTGCTTTTGGACATTTTTCCAAAATGCATTCTTACTGAAAATATTAGAGGGAGCCGATACTTTTCGATTAATGTATTTTCTTTAAACTAGACCAATTAATTGGTCTCATTATTTCGCCCAAAAAAGTATTAAGGTTATGATTACTGAAAACTAAATAATATTTTACAAGATATTTTACATTTTGTGTCAAAACATTGTTAACTTCAAACCTTTATAACTCAAAAAGTACTTAATGAAAAAATGTTTTATTATAGTGTTTTGGGAAGCTCTCGAGATAAGCTATGAGAATATGCAATAAAATGTTGGGAGTTCCATTTTAAAAAATAAGGTTGACCTTATTTTTTTAAATAGAACTCCCAACATTTCATTCATTTTTGCTAGTGCTGGTTGAAATAAACAAATCGGTAGTAGGACCAACACTTAATAATTAGTATTTTTCTCTACTTAATTATTTAGATCAATTTCCTATCACTTACCTGATTAATTCTTCTTTGCTCTAATTAAGAATGGCGAAGCTTTCTGAAATGACCTTGAAGGACATGGTTAAGGTCAAAGTGAAGGTCATCATCTTACTCCCCGCTTGAAACCATACAACTTTGCTATTGGACATTTTCTCCAAAATGCATTTTAACTGAAGATATTAGGGGGGTCCGATACTTTTCGATGACCCTGTATATATATATATACCATTGTACCTAAAAAAATATATATGCATAATACGTTTATAAAACGAAAATTGTATACTGTTTATTTTAATAAAATTTACGAACCCTATTATACACACATACACACAGCACAAAAAATATATATATATTGAGTTGAATAATAAGTAATTTCTTTGTTTTCAGGTACAATGGAATAATTGTATGTTTATGTATATTTTATTATGTATATTTTTTTAAATGGAACTCCCAACATTTTATTGCATATTCTCATAGCTTATCTCGAGAGCTTCCCAAAACACTATAATAAAACATTTTTTCATTAAGTACTTTTTGAGTTATAAAGGTTTGAAGTTAACAATGTTTTGACATAAAATGTAAAATATCTTGTAAAATATTATTTAGTTTTCAGTAATCATAACCTTAATACTTTTTTGCGCGAAATAATGAGACCAATTAATTGGTCTGGTTTAAAGAAAATACATTAATCGAAAAGTATCGGCTCCCCCTAATATTTTCAGTAAGAATGCATTATCATTATAATTTCATGAAACAATGTATGCGATATATTGAATTATTGGGTTCCTCACAAAGTCCTTGCGTTCATTAACATCGTTGATTCATGTTAATTCTTTGTATAAAATTAAATTTTGAAAATCACTGAAAAACTGCAATGACTTTTTGAACAACCCAATATCATCTACCATCTCTCGTATACATTGCTTCATGAAATTATAACAACATACAAGTATTGTTTAATTTTACCAAAAAAATACAAAACTAGTTCCCAGATAGTACCAAATCTTCAGAGAATGTTCTTAGAACGTTCTTAGGATGTATGAATGTCCTTAGAACGTTCTTAAAACATCCTTTCAAGATTTGTGCTATATGAGTTATTACACGCTTAATATATATATATATATATATATATTAAGTTATATATATATATATATATGTTACATCCTGTAGATTTAATTAGCAAACATTCTTTCTTCTCGCGGATTTATATTCTCCTAATATAACTATAATAGGAATATATACATATATAAATATAAATTAGGAAACAGACCCATCTGGCGAACAGCCGTCGCGCCAAATGAAAGGCGATTCGGGAAAATTCCATAACAGGAAACAGTGCCCTATTGTAAAAATCTACGTCTTCGTTTAAAGTTTATATCTGGGTAGTGTTCGCCAAGTGTGTCCGTCGTCCTAGCTATAAAAATTTGAAACTCCGCGCTAACAAACCTTCAGTAAAACAAAGCAACTCAGAGCATTCCTGCTCTAAAACTTGAAACTTACATCTTCCCAATCCAAAACCATATGAGCCCTATCAGTCAACCAATAAAGCCTACTTCACTGATAGTCGTAAAATATGACCTCAGCCTTTGATTTACGGCATTTTGATTTTTCCAGCCGGCCACTTGTATACATTTCTCTATCTCAAGAATCCACCACCTCCACGCTTGTCGCGCCTAATTCATTCAGCCAATCATATCATATCCACCTAAAACTATGAGACACCCACGCTCCACCCTTTAGCCCTTCCATATTCATATCTCCAAAAACTAACTGTCTCCTTCCACGATGTCTTTTAACTTCGCTAATGGCTAAGACTTTTTCCCACTACTGTCAACCAGGACCAATAATAAAAATTAGTAACAAAATCTTTAACTTCATTTGGTTCTCTTTAGGGCTTCACCCCTCCCTAAAAGGGCCATCTCTCTACCCACCCTGATAGCTTCTGTCTCCGATCATTGATATAAAAACCGCGGTAATCCGCCTCCGCGCCACTACTCTGAGAGACAGAAGAACACGGAAACGAAAAAGCTCATACTCGCACTCTCATGCAGATATTCAAAACTCAGATATTCAGAACTCGGATATTCAGATCTTGAGCATTAGGACTCAGATTCAAATCTTCATAATTCCAGTTCATTCAAATATTTAGTATTCAAATATTCAAGAATTTGGATTTTGGAAAAAGTGCGGGCTTCCTCTTTATATAAGTGAACGACTATTTGGTGCCTCAATCGGAATACGAATATTGGAAACGAGAACACCTACGCAGATCTGCGCCATTCTCACTTCTGCTTGTGTCAACTCATCCTGAATCAGTAGTAAGTTTCATTTTCCTTACTTTATCTTCCTACTTCTATTTTATTTATTCCACCCTTGAACTTCCTATTCATATTCGTTCCCTTTCCCATCCCTTTCTTTTTCCATTTCATACACTCATACACACACACATACTCTCATTCATCTAAGTATAATTGTCATGTTCAAACCATTCAATTACATAATTTTGGGTCTCTATTCATCTTAATAAACCTGTAAAAATTCAATCCGCACCGTTATATCCTATTATTAATAAATTTGTTAATTCAAACCGTGCCGTTATATAATCTTGTCATCTTTATTTTAATAAATCTGTTAATAGTTATTATCACCCATTAATTTCAAAATCACCCCACCTTCCAACAGTCAACTCATGGTCCCCGGTAAAGGGACTCGCGTCCTTGACCGAAAAACGGACCGCTCGTCGTACGTCGGTGTCCGAGTAAAGGGACCCGTCGGGTCCCTGACCCGTTCACTGGCACGCGGTTACGAACGAGGTTCGCCTTACTCGCGAACGGAAAGTTGCGCTCCTCTTCTAGGACGTAACATATATATATATATATATATATAGTGCTGCGCCCGTGTCTTTGGGGGACATGATATCCCCACGCTCCTGGGAGTGGACTGCAAAAGAATCGAGCAGAGATTGTTTGATAGCTGTTGTTGTCAAGGAGGTTGTTTAATAAATAAAAGAAGAAGAGATGAGAGAGAGTCGCCCGAGTCTTGTCAAGACGAACGGACGTATTAAAATAAAGCTTCTTTCGTTTTGTTAATTCCGTGTTATTTTTCTTGCGCAAGGGCGCAACAATATATATATATATATAAGGCCTGTTCTTTTTCGCTGCACTGTTGCACTGATGCAATAAGTTAGAGTGAGAAATATATATTTGTTTTACTCTAACTTATTGCATCAGTGCAGCAATGCAGTGAAAAAGAACAGGCCTTATATTTATATATCAGTATACTGGATTTAAATGTAGCGCGTTTCCCCACTCTGTATCACGTGATCTATTTTATTTCCACCAGTTCCGGTACGTATCATGGTGGCGCTCCAAAAACCCGTCGCTTAAGGCCATTGCACGTACAAAAGTTTTAGTCGTAACCGTAAGTCCGTAAGCAAATTGACCAATCACGATTCGTATATTTCGAGATGCTGGATTGTGATTGGTCAATTTGCTTACGGTCTTACGGTTACGACTAAAATTTTTTTACGTGCAATGGCCTTTAGTGTACCTCAAGGGAAAGTACGGACATTGATCCTGTGGCGGCCGGGATGTTTTGGTCCGGGAAACCGGAAATTTAGTTATATGCGCGGAATGTTGAAATTCTACTAAAAGAGATATCAAGCAAGATATTTATATTTAATTTTGATGACTTATAAATAACATTAATGTTATTATAATTGTGAGATAGAGGACTTGTAAAATTGAAGTAGAAATATAATAGAGTTATTATTTTATATATAAAAAAATATTATTCGTACATGATCATAATATAATTTCACAAATAGTAAAGTAATAACTTAATGACATCGTCTTGATATTGGAAACGTCAAGAAAACGTCATAAAATATAATAAAAAAAATTTTTTTTCTTTTGCTGTCGTACCGTATCTTAAACCTTCTCCGACAATATTTGTAGCTGTCAGAAATTTTTTCCTGTAAGTTACTCCATTCTATTTCCTGTAATAAAGAAAGTATTTCATAGTCTCTTCCCTTCAGATCTATTAGGTTGTTCGGAAAGTTCGTTTCAAATTTCGCGCGCTCCACATTTCTATGTAATCAGTAAGAACGAGGGCGCTCTAAACGATTTTATGTTTGTCAACAAACATTCCCGGATCTATGAGCCCGCTAAGGAAACTTCGCAGATCTTCCTAAGTGCAACTATTTCGTCAGAAATCAGTTTGAAAAATGGAGAACCAAAAAGTCCATTTTCGTCATGTGATGCTATATTGCTTTAAACGTGGCTTCACGGCTTCGCAGACCCTGAATGAGATGTTCTCAGTATATGGAGATGCCTGCGTCACTCACCAGACAGTTCGAAAATGGTATCGAAGATTCGAAACTGGCGATTTCAACATGGAAGATCAAGCTCGCTCAGGCCGGCCTCAGGAGGTTGATAAAACGCTTCTTATGGATCTCTTGCACGAAAATCCTCGAGTGACAGTTAGAGAACTCGCCGACACTCTGCACAAGTCTGTTTCCACCGTGCATGACCATCTGAAGAAGCTAGGATTCTCAAGTCGACTGGATGTGTGGGTGCCACACGAAATGAATGAACGGCAGTTGCTGGAACGTGTGAACGTCTGCGATATGCTGCTTCAACGGCACCAAAAAGAACCGTTCTTGAAGAGGATCATAACAGGCGATGAAAGTTGGATCCTAAACAATTATGTTAGCCGCAAGAGGTCGTGGGGAACCAGCGACGCGTCTACGCAAACAGTGGCCAAGCCGGGGCTTCGCGCGAAAAAGGTTCGTCTGAGTATCTGGTGGGATTTTAAGGGCGTGGTATATTATGAGCTTCTTCAACCAAACGAAACTATCAACGCGGCGAAGTACAGCCTTCAACTGGACGAACTGAAGACTGCCATCGCACGGAAGCGCCCTGAATTGGCCAACAGGCATGGAATTGTTTTCCATCATGATAACGCCAGACCTCACATCGCAATGTCTATCCGTAGGAAGCTGTTAGACTTCGAATGGGACGTTCTTCCTCATCCTCCATATTCTCCCGACCTTGCCCCATCTGACTACTATCTATTTCTTTCTTTAAAAAATTTTCTTCGGGACAAGAAATTCGAGTCTTTGAAAGTCCTCAAAAGTCATCTTGATAAATTCTTCGCCAATAAGAAACCTTTATTTTGGAGCAAAGGCATCATGCAGCTTCCTCAAATATGGGCCAAGGTCGTTGAACAAAACGGTACATATTAGCTTCAATAAAGTTACTCTTTGTGTAAAATATTGCGCTCTTAATTTATTTCAAAAATTTGAAACGAACTTTCCGAACAACCTAATATTATATTATTCACGTAGAATCCACAAAATCACATGGATTTCACATGAACACAACGTTCCTGTTTTCATGGGTATTGACTCTATAATAATGAAGCGGATTCATTGATAATACTTAAAATAAAAATTTCTTAATAATGAAAGTTAAATAATATTTAATGATAACGATAAATACAAATAATATTATATAATATACAGGGTGTTATAAAAGTCCCGGAAGAGCAGAATAACTCGAAAAATATGAGTCCTAGAAAAAATACGAAGTACTGAGTTTTTATGATTTTTTTCCTGACTATCTGACGGTGACCTTGGATTTGACCTTGAAGGTCATTTCAAGGACAGGTCAATTTTTTTAAACGGGACCCCATACTTTTGACCCCAGAAATGAAAAGAGTGGAAAATTTTACGTTCGGATATGACCTTGAATACTGCCAAATTTGACCTCTGAAGGTCACATAAAGGTCTAAGCTTGTTTTAGGCTGAAAACGCGAATATCTTCGAAAATGCACCTGCTAGGGAGCAATGTTACGCATAAGAATAAGAATGTAGAGGTCAACGAGGGAACCGAATCCGACGTCGGATTTCGCAAATTCAAGATAGCCGATTCAAGATAGCGGTCGATATTTAAGAATAACAAAAATTGGATTTCGTTTAAGGAGTTTTTGAAGTCGTTTCTAAAATCGAATCCGACGTTGGATTTTACAAATTCAAGATGACCGATCCAAAATGGCGCCCGATATTGAGGAATTACCAACAATCGGAGTGTGACCTCGTACGTAACGTAAAATCTCACTCTTCACATTATGGGGGGGGGTAAAAGTATGTTTCTAGCCTAAAAAAATTAATTGACCTTGATACGACTGACACATAATCTTAAGAACAAGGTCAAGGTTGAAAACGTCATATCCGAACGTAAAATTTTTCAATCTTGACACTTTTAGGTCAAAAGTATGGATTTTCAGTCCTAAAAAAGTCCGGTTTGACCTTAATAATAATCTTAACTCATGAGAATAAAGGCAAGGTCACAGCTGAATGTCTTTCATTGACCTCTACATTCTTATTCTTATGCGTAACATTGCTCCCTAGCAAGTGCATTTTCGAAGATATTCGCGTTTTCAGCCTAAAACAAGCTTAGACCTTTATGTGACCTTCAGAGGTCAAATTTGGCAGTGTTCAAGGTCATATCCGAACTTAAAATTTTCCGCTCTTTTCATTTCTGGGGTCAAAAGTATGGGGTCCCGTTTAAAAAAATTGACCTGACCTTGAAATGACCTTCAAGGTCATTGTCAAGGTCAAATCCAAAGTCACCGTCAGATAGTCAGGAAAAAAATCATAAAAACTCAGTACTTCGCATTTTTTCTAAGACTCATATTTTTCGAGTTATTCTGCTCTTCCGGGACTTTTATAACATCCTGTATATTATAAACATGCCATATGAACATATAATATAAATATCTTTTCAAAGACACCAGGTAAAACCTTAAAATGTTCTAAATGACGAGTTAGAGTTCGAAGAGAAGGCAATGGGAAATTATTTCGGAGTAATTGTTCATACCCATGCGATCTACAAACAAATTTTAAACGATAAGCCTTGATTAATATGTTGTTACACCAACGCGGCATTTTTTTATAAGCATTAGTTAAAACTTTAATTTGATCTTCATTAAATAGCTTATTTAACATTTTTATATCTGTCCTTGTTCTTACTTCCTGCTGTAGTTTCTTCAACTTAATTTTCAAGTCCTGCAATTGTTTCATCATTTCTTCTTTGCTTTTTTCACTTTGAAATAAACGTTTTTCTAATTTTTCTAATCTTTTTTCATATTTTGGAATTGTTTTGGAATTACTTAACGTCAACGGTTGAGTAGATTGAATTTCAGTCTCAATTTCAGTTTGTATATTTTCATCTTCTTGTTTCATACTGTTATTTTGCTCCGATATCTTTGTTGTATCTATTGTTGATTCCAATATTTCGTTTGTATTTGTATTCCCTTGATTTACACTTGTTGATAAACTCTTTTCCTCGATAGATAGTTCTTAAAAAACAAATAGCATATTATTGTTCATCTGTTATAAATAAACATATTGCTTATATATAAATAATGTTATATATATTATATATAGATAATGGAAAATATTCCACTACTTTTATATTAACGTCACACATTTTACATTTAACTGTATTATGGCTTTTAAGGCTCATCCACGATAACTGTAAAAATATGGCTGTAAGATTGTAACGTAGGCTGTCAGCAAATAAAAAGAATTTATTTCGCATCTTACAGCTTTACAGCCATATTCTTAAGTCATTGTAGATAAATCTTTAATTGTATACCTTGCTGACATTTTTTTTATTACATCTATTCGAATTTGAGTATCTTCCCCAAATAGTGTTCGTACAGCTTTTCATTTTAACTTTTTTTTGCCATCGACTCTCATTGTTTCCCACTGATCATCAGCAAAATGAAACTATGCGAAGAACAACATAAAGTAAATAGGTATTGAATATAGAAACAAAGAAATTGTGTATATATTAAAACAGACAACATAATTATATTGTATATATATTAACAGACAACATAACATACCTCACACAAACGTGAATCCTTTCTCGGCTGCCAGTTACTTCGACCTATATTTCTTATCCACAACATTTGCATTTCCCTTTCTTGTGGAAAAGAACACATTTTAATTCCCTTGGTTGATGTACTCTTACAATTTTTTGCAATACATTTAGGCATTTTTATGCTATAATAAAGAACAGATTATATAACTTACACCTACACGTATATTTACACAATATATTGCTACATATATTTTTATATTATCTATTTTATAAAAATATTAATCACAATATATAAAACACAAAAACTCACTTTTCTTTTAACACACTTCCACTATGTATACTTCTTTTTCTTTTTCTATAGCAGCGAACATAAATGCCATTGGCCGGTTATAGACGACATATAACCAGGCTTGATAAACTCTTATGGGAAAATTCTGACCAGTGTTTTAACGCCATCTAAAAGATAACCCCCAGGAAATGTGAACTACGATGCCAAAAATTCAATATGGCGTCTGTTATAAGACTGGTGCATGTATATGTTACTTATGTTCGCTGAACGCAGCCAACTATATTTCTACAATAAATATTTGAACGTTGTTTAACACTTCTTGTAATTAAAGGAATCTTTTTATGTGTGGTCATCGTCGCTCGCTCCAAACTACCATATATACGGTGAAGGTAAAGACATATTAACACGCTTGTTATTTAGACGTAAGTATTTGTTACGTTACTTTTTATTTGTAGCATCGAAAATGTTTTCAGCGTACGTTGCGTCATAGATTTTAAAAGAACGTCCCTCTAAGATATTTGAGCATAGATATGGGGAGGACATGTTGTGTTCCTGGATGCAAGTCTGGGAAAGAAGTGCCTTCACATCGATTTCCCAAAGATCCTGAAAGATGCTCAAAATGGGTACAAAGTTTGAAATTGAAACATTTAGAAAATTATCCAAGCAATGAGATACAAAAAAATAAAGTGTGCCATAAACATTTTCGTCCAGAAGACTATAGTCCATGTTTGCATAAACGTGTGTTATTAAATGTTGCGGTTCCTGTATTGTTTATACATAATACAAATATAGATGCTTGGTGTACACATATCAACATTTTATGTAAAAAGATAACAACAAATAGCGATAATTATATGTATAAAGCAGCAATGCGAATATCAACAAAATATGGAAAAAAAACAGTGAAAAAAAATAAAATAAAGAATGAGTATACATTGTTTTAAATTGTTTATTTTTTTAAAATTGCTTTTTAGTTATTCATTTTGTTCCAAATCCAATAAATTGATTAAAATTTAAATATAAAATTAAATATACTAAAACGAATAAGAGCTCATCTTTATCGATCGGTAAGTTACTTTGCTACGTAGTTCATATATTATTGGGGGTCATCTTTTAGATGGCGTTAAAACACTGGTCAGAAATTTTACATGGAAGTTTAACAACCCTGCATATAACTTTAATCGTAATCAATTGATCCTTTAGCTCATATTTCTTGCTTCTCCGCCTGTTACCTGGCAATGTGCACGGAACTTTACCGGAAGCAGACCCAAACATGGCAGAACCAATCAAAACGCTGACATACGGTGCCGTACTCTCCCTTGAAGTACAGTACCGTCGCTCGGTTTCTAAGAAAGGAGTTTGTACCCCCTGATGTATTCATACGTTAATTGCAGAAAGTATGAGTTATATTTATTATTATTATCCAAGAAATATTATTCTGTTATTGTTACAGTTGCATTTAAAGTAATTAAATATGTGTACTAAAAACTTACAGACAGAAAATTACTTTTAACCTTCTAACGTAACAGCACTACACAATGGATACTTATTATTTATTGATAAACTTGCTATCACCATTACTAATTCTACAAAAATTACTTGTTACCACTCTAGTAATTTAAAGAGTGAATGAGCTTTTATTTTAGTAAGTAGTGAATTTGTATCAGTGATAGTGAGTAACCACTGCATAATGTTGTTACGTTATAGAAGATTGAAAGTTATTTTTTGTCTATAATTATTTAATAAAGACATTAGTCACTTTAAATGCAACTGTAACTATAACTTAATTATATTTCTTGGTTAATAGTATAATATAATTAAAACTTTTATGGTTATAAATGCATGTAGAATATAAATGAGGTAAGCGATATTAACCTGTCAAGAACAAGATCTTCAAAATTTGCTATCGCCACTACTAATTCTGTAAGAACTACTTGTCACCACTCTAATAATTTGAGGAGTATTATGGGAAGTATTGAGTTGATATCGATGAGATTTTTATCAAGTTTTAAAGATTCTGTTCTTGACAGATTGATGTCGCTTACTTTATGCACATACAGGGTTCTCAAAAAGTCTTCGAACGATAAAATATCTCGAAAACAATCAGTTTTTGCAAAAAATGTTTCAGGCAAAAGTTGTAAAGTTTAAAATGATCTATTTACTGATCTTATCAGTTTGACTTTGGCTAGCGTCAACAAGGTCAGGGCAAAGTCACTTTGAATTTTTTAAGTGGAACGCCTTACTTTTTTTGGTATATTCTTATAACATATTTCCAAAACACTACAACGCGCGCGCGCGTGTGTGTGTAAAACGCACGCGCACATACACACACACATACACACACACACGTACGCACGCACGCGCGCACGCACACACACAGATACGCATGCCCGCGCACAGAGGTGTAAATCCGATCGTGCAACCTCTACGCGGTACACCTTGGGTAATGCTAATGCCGACGGTACTGTAACTTTGAAGCTTCATAACTCGGGATGTACTTAACAAAAAAATACTTTGTTGCAGTGTTTTGGAAAGCTCTTGAAATATGTTATAAGAATATGCCAAAAAAAGTAGGGCATTCCATTTGAAAAGTTCAAGGTGACTTTGCCCTGACCTTGTTGACGCTAGCCAAGGTCAAACTGATAAGATCAGTAAATAAATCATTTTAAATCTTACAACTTTTGCCTGAAACATTTTTTCCAAAAACTGATTGTTTTCGAGATATTTTATCGTTCGTAGACTTTTTGAGAATCCTGTATATTCTATGTACATTTACAAGGTAATCACAAGTTTTAATTATATTATATTTCTTGGTTAATAGTATAATATAATTAAAACTTTTATGGTTATAAATGCATGTAGAATACAAATGTATAAGGTAAGCTATATCGACTTGTGTTCGCGAGTCCGCTTGGAAGTATGAAAAACAAAGAAAAAAAAAAGGTAAACGACGTTCAACGAATATTTTCGTATCGCTGCCGTGTTATGATGTTTTGGGATAGCAGACAGAAGAAACCTTGAAAAAGCGACTCAATTCCAAAATAAACAGCCGAAGCATTACGTCCAAATTTGTTCGATCGCTCTATTGTACTTGGAACATTGTTGATCTCAGCGAGGTAACGACACGGCTGAATCTTCTGGAAGTTCGACATCCAAGCTCGTGCCTAGACTGACACGAGACATTGGCGGCGAGAAAGAGAGGAGCTATACAGGGTGTTTGATAGCTGATCATGCAGACGAAAGTTGGAGATAGATTGGGTGTAGCCGAGAAGAAAAGACATATACCATAATGTCAAATTGGCAATAGTTACCGAGTTATTAATTAAAACATGTGAGCCAACGAGCACGTAGAGAGCGGAGGGCGGCCGCAGTAAGCACGTAGACATTTGATACAGGCGGAGTCAGTGAGTGGCGGTAGACCAGCGCGCGCGGCGAGGGGCAACGTAAGCGACAAGAGGCGATCGCGCGCGACGAGGAGCGAGCGAGCTTTTTCTTTATAGCTTTTTCCTTATAGTTCGCTCGCTCTTCGTCGTTCGCGCTCGCTCGCTCTTCGTCGTTCGCGCTCGCTCGCTCTTCGTCGCGCTCGCTCGCCTCTTGTCGCTTGCGCTCGCTCGCTCCTCGTCGTTCGCGCTCGCTCGCTCCTCGTCGTTCGCGCTCGTTCGCTCCTCGTCGCGCGCGTTCGCCTCTTGTTGTTTACGTTGCCTCTCGCAGCGCGCGCTCGCCTACCGCCACTCGCTGGCTCCGCCTGTATCAAATGTCTATATGTCTTACTGCGGTCGCCCTCCGCTCTCTACGCGCTCGTTGGCTCACATGTTTTAATTAATAACTCGATAACTATTGGCAATTTGACATTGTGGTACATGACTTTTTTTCTCGGTTACACCCAATCTATCTCCAACTTTCGTCTGCATGATCAGCTATCAAACACCCTGTATATATACAGGGTGTCTCATAACTAATCTGGCAGAGCTCGTGGAGACATAGAGCGGGTTAAGACAAATATAAAAGTCCCATGCCGTTTTGTGAGATTCGCAATAATTATCGAGTTATTAATGACAGAAATTAGAGGAATGAGCGCGCACCGAGACGTTATGGGAGGAGCATCTAGCCGCTCAGGCTAGAGAGCACTGGCCAGTCGACAAAGGAACTGTTGCCAGCACGCGGCGAGGGGAAGGACAACGCACCAATGTTTATGTCCTTACCTCGCCGCTCCTACATCCTGCCGCACCGCGTCTATGCTCGCGTCGAAATGGCTACTGAATATTCGCGATTACAATTACGAGATTATTTTATGAGGTACCACATACAGCTCATATTGAATTATAAAGTTCAAGGTTCAAAAGTTCTTTGATCAAAGAAAACATCGAAAAGGAGAAAGCGATTGAGAACGATGAGATCTACAGAAATTCTCATTGTTTTCTATCGCAATCTATCGTTTTGCTGCATCGGATCCGAAAGAAATGATATCGCGTAAAGACAGAGTACGATGAACACTTTTCATCGTATTCTATTGTACTCTATCGTTAGGAGAATATTTAATTGTTAGAGTATGATAGAATTCGCGTAGAGACTCATCGTGTCCTATCGTTTTATTCAAGTCTACACGGAAAATATGTTTGGTTGAATGAACCAATTTTCTGACGAAATGAGAGAGAGAGAGAGAGAGAGAGAGAGAGAGAGAGAGAACGATTAAGAAATTTCGATTGAAAATAGCACAATTTTGTTTAAGTTAACCATAAACCTTGATGAATTAGATTCAGTGTTAATATTTTCAGTTAATATGTCTCTGTATCGTTCATATTTCATTTGCAAGCTGTATCATGGATCAAACATTTTTATCATATATCATGCATAAATTCATGCATGTTGTCTTATATCGTAATTCTTGTCAGTGGTATATTAACGACATAAGAAACTGAAAGTTCTGTATCGTACAATTGCGAAAAGAGGACCATCGTTGTCAATGGTGCACCAACGATACTCGGCATAAAATTGATTCCTAGGTATAATCGCGATACAACGCAAATCCGAGTGTGTTATTTTGACACGCATAAATGTATGATTGATTGACGCTTTCTTTACACGTTTCTTGTCGTTGAATCGTGCAAAAAAAACAT